AAACCCTAAACCCTAAGAACCCGTATAGGGTATTTTATGTGATTGAACTGGTGTATATGTGTGCTTTTCTGAACTGTAAAAGAGTACATAGTGTTTAGGGTTTAGGGTTTAGAGGGTTTAGAGGGTTTAGGGTTTTGAGGGTTTAGGGTTTAGGGTTTACGGTGGTTTACCTGTTCGTTATCAGCGTGGCACTGCCCCAGGAGCCGCCAACCCTCGCTGCTGTTGGGGTGTATATGCACCTCAGCCTCCAACACCAATACTGCTTCTTGTAGTTTTCCTTCATTTATTAATTTGTGTGCTTTCTCTAAACCCCCGGGAGAGTTTAAATAAGGGTTGTTTGGCCGCGTGTATGACGCAGGCTCATACTCCTCTGAAACACGCAAACCCTAAACCCACGTAAACCCTCATAAACCCTCGTAAACCCTCGTAAACCCTCATACACCATAATACACTGTGACAAACCCTAATAAACCCTAATCAGCCATAATAAACCCTCACAAACTCTTATAAACCCTCACAAACCCTCATAAACCCTCATAAACCCTCATAAACCCTCATAAGCCCTAGATAAGTGCATATACGGTTACCTGCATCGTCAACCACGTCTGAAGACGGATCAAAGACGTCCCCTGCACAAGCAAAACCCAAGCCCTAAACCCTAAACCCTAAACCCTAAACCCTAAACCCCAAACCCTAATAAGAAAGAGAGCCTCAAACTAGGGTTTAGGGTTTACCTATCTGCTCCTTTATGTCGCGTGAGAGGATACCCTCCATCTCTTCTGACTTGAATATGGACTGAAACATACTTAGTTCTTCGGCATCAATCTCCCCCTGAACCCCAAACCCTAAACCCTAAACCCTAAACCCTAAACCCTAAACCCTAAACCCTANATGCTATCTATGTCCAAGGGTTTACGAGTTTAGGGTTTAGGGTTTGCTGTTGGTTAGGCTTTAGGGTTTACTGTTGATTAGGGTTTAGGGTTTGCTGCTGATTAGGGTTTAGGGTTTAGGGTTTAGGGTTTAGGGTTTACGTTTTCGTGCGCCTTGCGCCATGCCTCCTCCAGTTCTTTCAGAGACCCCTCGAAGTCTGTTGCTGTTTCTGTTTTTGCTGCTGCTGCTGCTGCTGCTGCTGCTGCTGTTGCTTCTTCTGCTGCTGCTGCTGCTGTTTTTTGTATTTCATAAGACGCCAACTCCGTATCCCAATCCACCGGATCACCGTCGCTAGACACCAGCTGAAACACAAACCCTAAACCCTAAACCCTAAACCCTAAACCCTAAACCCTAATGCCGGTCCACCGGCAAACCCTCCGTAAAAACCAGCGCAAGCCTAAACCCTAAACCCTAAACCCTAAATTTCTGCTCCTCTTTCTCCTGACTAGGCGGTGACCCCGGATTCCCATTGAATTTAGGGTTTAGGGTTTAGGGTTTAGGGTTTAGGGTTTCCATGCATAGAGCATCTGTTTTATATAAATAAATAAAAAAATAAACAAACAAAAATACATACATAAATAAACATATGAGTAAAACCCCTGTCTCTGAACCCCAAAACCTAGTGTTTCTAGGGTTTAGAATTTCTAGGGTTTAGGGTTTAGGGTTTAGGGTTTAGGGTTTACCTGTCCGTTTTCTAGTTTTAGTTTTCCATCCGCCAGAGCCTCCACAAACTTTGTAAATTCCGCATTCAGAATTTTGCTGCCCCCCACAGACTTCAACCCCCGCACCAGCTCGCGAGCAACAGCCTAGTACCAGCAGCAGCAGCAGCAGCAGCAGCAGCAGCAGCAGCAGCAGCAGCAGCGGTGGTGGTGGTGGTGGTAGGAAGCAGCGCGGTTGCAGCACAGCAGCAGAAGCAGCAGAAAACGAAATTCAAGGAGAAACAGCAGCAGCAGCAGCAGCAGCAGCAGGAACAGCAGCAACTGCTGCTGCAGCAATAGTAACAGCAACAGCAGCAGCAGCAGCAGCAGCAGCAGCAGCAGCAGCAGCAACTGCAGCAGCAAATATCTGATTTCTTACAGGGTCAAACACTTCGGGCTTCGATGGTTCTTCTTGCTGCTGCTCATCACGCTGTTGCTGCTCTTGTTGCTGCTGTTGCTGCTGCTGCTGCTGTTGCTGTTGCTGCTGTTGCTGCTGCAGCAGCTGCTGCTGCTGCAGCTGCTGCTGCTGCATGTGAAAGGGAAACTGCTGCTGCAGCGGCAGCTGCAACCCAAAGTACTGGGGGGGTGCAGCAGCAAACCTCTCTGAGGCTTCTCTAGCCCCCGCTAGATAAGAAGAAGAACCAAAAAAATGAGATTGCTGCTGCTGCTGCTGCTGCTGCTGTATATGCTGCTGCTGCTGCTGCTGCTGCTGCTGCTGCGCTGCTGTGGGACCCCCCAAAGACAGCGTCTCGAACTCCTGAACACAAAAAAGCAGCAAAACCAGCAGCAGCAGCAGCAGCAGCAGCAGCAGATGCAGCAAACGCAGCAGCAGCAGCAGAAGCAGCAGCAGCAAACGCAGCAGCAAGAGATGCAGCAGTCCCAGCAGCAGCAGCAGCAGCAGCAGCAGCAGAAGCAGCAAGCACAGCAGCAGCAGCAAATATCTCAAAAGAAAAGCTGCTGCTGTATACGACGTACATAGCAGCAGCAGAAACTGCAGCAGCAACAACAGCAGAAGCTACAGCAGCAACAGCAACAGCAGCAGCAACAGCAGCAGCAACAGCAACAGGAGCAGCAACAGGAGCAGCAGCAACAGCAACAGGAGCAGCAACAGGAGCAGCAGCAACAGCTGCAGCAGCAGCAGCAGCAGCAAGACGCTCCTCACCCTTGCCCACTCTTGAACAAGGCCCCCATCGTTGCCGAAGCGCTGCAGCCGCTGCTGCTGCTGCTGCTGCTGCTGCTGTTGCTGCTGCTGCTGGTGACTAAGAAACTCAGCTGCCCACGCGGAGGGTGCATGCTGCTGCTGCTGTTGCTGCTGCTGCTGCTGCTGCTGCTGCTGCNTGCTGCTGCTGCTGCTGCTGCTGCTGCTGCAGGTGTGTTGCTGCTGCAGGAAAGACAGAATCCCTAAAATAGGAGGGCCTGAGGAGTTCTGCTTCTGCTGCTGCTTCTGCTGCTGCTGTTGCTGCTGCTGCTGCTGCTGTGCTGCCAGCAAGAAGCTCCTCGACTCCATCTGAAACCAACAACAAACCCTAAACCCTAAACCCTAAACCCTAAACCCTCGTATTGGAATTCTACACCTTAAACCCTAGCTCCTACCCCGTAAACCCTAAACCCTAAACCCTAAACCCTAAACCCTTGCATACGTGACTGAGGCGGCATTCTCTCGGTGGCAGTTCCTGCTGCTGTTGCTGCTGCTGCTATTGCTGCTGCTGCTGCTGCAGGGGGCGAAGTCTGGTGATCGCTAAAGGGAACAGCAGCAGCAGCTGCTGCTGCTGCTGCTGCAGCAGCAGCAGCAGTTTTCTTCTCTTGCTCTGGCCCCGCCAAAGGGTTTGGGAGCGCTGAGATATCATAGCCCTCCGTCAGCTGCAGATACACCCAAACCCTAAACCCTAAACCCTAAACCCTAAACCCTAAATCCGAACTCTCAAACCCTAAACCCTAAACGCTAAACCCTAGACCACAACCCCCAAATCCCAACAAAAAACCAGAGAACCCTACGCCCTAAACCTTACCCCCCAAACCCCAAACCCCAAACCCTAAACCCTAAACCCTAAACCCTAAACCCTACTTGTTGGGTCCTGAGAGGGTCTTGTGTTACAGAACTTAAGAAAGATGTCAGCGGGTTGGTGGAGGCCCCAGTGATCGATGCATCGCCAGCAGCAGCAGCGCAGCCCTGCTGCTGCGGCTGCGAGAGCAGCGCGCGGAAAGCCATGCTGCTAAACCCTAAACCCTAAACCCTAAACCCTAAACCCTTGAGCATAAACCCTCGTTTGTTTGCCCTGGGAGGGTTAGTGATGCTGTAAAGGCCAACCAACAAACTCAACAGACAACCAAAGAAGAGACAGAGGGGCCCCCAAAAAAGAAAAAGAAAAAGAAAAAGAAAGCAGTAACGCTGCTGCTACTGAGTTGCAGCAGCAGGTGAGGGGCCCTGGGGGGCCCCCCAAAACTAAACTAGGGTAGGAGGGGGGAGAGAGAAAACCTAAAATATGAAAAAGGTAATCTTTAATAAAAGTATATGTGAATATTCAATGCCATAAAAAAACCCTAAACCCTAAACCCTAAACCCTAAACCCTAAACCCTCAACAGTCAAATAAGCAGCTGGGGGGCCCCGCGAGACGGCAGGAAAGGTACGAAGGCTGACGGAGTTTTTATTGTGTAAAAAGAAAAAAATAAATAAATTAATTATATAAAACAATTTAATAAAAAACAAAAAAAATAAAAAATATACAAACTAACCCCATCTCAATGATGAGCGGCTGAACCACCGACCGAGGTGCCTATACACCTGAAACAGGTAGACGCTAGTCTTCGTCTCTGTTGGTTATATTTTTTTAGTTTTTTTAGTTTTTTTAGTTTTTTTTAGTTTATTTAACCCCCCAAAACAAATAAAAATAAATGGTGTTTACTACTTGATAGATGCAGTGAAGAGAAACATAAACCCTAAACCCCAAATCCCTAAACCCTCAACCGTAAATCCTAACAGCCAAACCCTCAACACTAAACCCTAAACCCTAAACCCTAAACCCTAGCTTTTCCTGCAGGTTCTGGTTCCTCCTACACTACTCACGTATATTTTATAATGCTTTACAGCCGGCGGTCGTTGCTGCCTCTAGCACTGATGAGCAGAGTATATACATCTCGGTGTATATACACCCTAAACCCTAAACCCTAAACCCTAAACCCTCGGTGCTGAATACAAGAAGACTGCGAAGACCTTCCAGAGGATCATGATCGCTGTGCAGCAACCACTAAAAAAAAAACAAAAAAATATTCATCTGCAGTCCGATAGAGAGACAAACGAGCTGTATAACAAGGAGACATATCCATAGAACTTCTTTCTTCGGCATCTGCACGTTTTTTCGTGCAGCGACAAAAAGTTTAATCGCTGGGGGTGTTGGGGCTCAGTGAGATCGAGGGGGTTTGAGGCAGCAACAAGAATGCTTTTAATTTATTTTAATATTTTGGGTTGAACTGCAGATGAAAGCTTTATAACTTTGTCTCCGTTCCGACAGCTACTGAGGCAGTGAATATGCATCCCGGCTCAAACAAAAAAAAGCAAAGACAACAAAATTCTGGGGGGTGAATCAAGCAGGCAGATGAAAGGATCTACCACGGGCGATGTTTAACAGTCTCGCTAACCCAAATTATTTTGTTTTTTTAGGGTTTAGGGTTTAGGGTTTCTGTTGAGTGTACGGGGGTTTGAGCAGCCGACGAAGTTCAGCATACGTTGGGTAAAAGACCCCTAAACTTTCATCTTTGGGTTTAGGGTTTAGGGTTTGTTTCCCCCCGAGAGTGGATATCTCACCACCTCATTGATGCCGGTATTCTAAAGAGATTCATCAACAACCCGCCGAGTTTCCCTCCAAGCCTCTGCGCTGCGCAGAGTGCAGCAGCGTCATGGCGAGGAGGAGAAACAGCAGGAGAAAGAGATCCTGGATAAACGTGTAGCAAGAGAAAGAGCCGACAGAAAACGAGAATACTAACTCCATTGGCACCACCCCCCAAAGCACCTTCGGGGGAGCCCTGCCGGCCCCATCGGCGGCGGCTGCTACAGCACAGTCTAGCTGAAACACTTGACGAGTATTGTCTGGGTGCATGCAGAGAGGTGCGCATATTTTTATATATAGATATTCACTTTCTCTGTGTTAGCTGCGCTCCCCCCCCCCCC